GCGTATTCCAAAGTCACTCCTCTTTCCCAATTCCTCAAGCTCCTCAAGGAGCGGTTCGCTGACCCAACGCGAGGCATTAGAGCCTCTGATAAGCTCCAAACGATCCACTCTCGGCAGTGGAGGAGTGCCAAGGCACTCAAAGGTACCATGGATGACTTGGTAGCCGTCCCGGACCACGGGGTCACTGAGCCCCAGCTGGTCCAGTTGTTTTATCGTGCCATTCCAGAGGCCCTACGCGGCCATTTCTTTGACAAATCTCAGCAGGCCGGCATGACTTACGATGCATTGATTAGGGAAGTCGTCCTGTATGAGTCGAAGTCTATGCCAGTTACCACTTACTGGCATAAGGACTTAGAGAAGGGGAAGAAGTGGAAGAATCGTACCATCTCAGGCCAAGTAAAGGCCAAGGATCACATGATCCTGACATTAGAAGAAGGTGGTACCGATGAGGTCCCATATGACCAGATGAAGATGATGGCAGTAGTGTGGGGCAGGGGAGGTCTTACGGTGCTGTCGCGGCTGGGGGTAGGCCGCAAGGAGGAGGAGGAGGCCAGGGCCAAAGGGGCCAGGCCATGGGTGGCCGAGGACCGGGCGCACAGGGGGTTGGCGGGCAGGGAAACCGCCAAGCGGGAGGTAGGGGTCAAGGTCCCCCGTCAAATCGCCAGGGTAATTGTTCCCCACAACGAAGAGGTGGAAGGGCACCTCAAGGGGGTTGGCACCCAGGCTTGCCACAGGGCAGGCCCTGGGAAGATTTGGGCTTGGACCAGTGCGGATGGCAAGAACACGTGGACCGGGGTCAGTGCATATTCTGTGGTGACCCGGCCCACGTTATCAAATTTTGTCCAAAGTATAACAGGCCCGTTGGGCTGCTCAGTCGTCAAAAGGCAGCCACCAGTAGGGGTCGCAACTGCCCCTACTTCCAGGCCATGTGGAGAAGTGAGCGCGCGCGAACAGGACACTCCCAACCCACATGAGCCTATGGCAGAGGTTGCAGGCCCGTGCCGAGATAGCTGTCCAGAGGCTGCTTGTGTTAGCGTCTCTTTAGGCACGTCCCTCACAGGTGTGGCAGAAGAGTTAAAGGAGAGGATGCCAGCCTAGGCCAAAATGAAAAAGGAGAGCAAGGGACAACTGATTTTGGTAGATGTAGAGGTATTCAGGAGTAGAGTAGGGGCCCTTATAGACTCAGGGGCTACCCGTAGTTATATCAGCCGTAGGGCGCTGAAGAAGTTGAGGCTGGGACTAAAAGTCCAGAAGTTAGTAGACCCCATAGTTAGTGTCCTCGCACCGCACGATGCGAGTTGAGGACTACGTAGAGGGAGTCCAGGCGTACTTTCGCCTAGAGAAGGATGGGAAGGTGGAGAAAGTTCTCCATTCCCTGACTCTCCTCGTACAAGATGACCTTCCTTT